GTTTGCTCGTCGCGAACTGGAGAGTAAATTGGGATGACAACTCGTTGAACGATTCGATGGAAGCGCTCGGCAATCGCGTGAACCAGCTCAGAGCTCTCCCTTTCAGCGATGTGGGGAATATTCGGCACAAGGCCGAGTCGTCTTGAGTGGATAGGGTTGCTTGTGTCAAGAAAACGATTAAGTGTTCCTCGGGGTCGGTTGACTCATCGTACTTCTCGATCGGCATGCTTTTCCAATGGTCTAGTAGGGTTGCCTCCGTTATTCTTCGAGAGAACGGAAGCCTTAGTGAGTGAGTGGTGGTGTCGGCCTTGTTAGCTATCAAAGAGGTGACTGGTGTTCGGGTCACATGATTGGTTGGGGCATGATATGCCGACTCCTCTTGGAGAGTAGGAGTTGACGGCACATAGGTCTGGTTAAGGCTTCGAAGCTCGGTGTTTTGACGGTGCAGTTCGGCCAACTCCCTGGCGTCGGCCTCTCTCTTTCTTCGGATAGCGGCCATTTCCTCGCGCAATGCGCGTAAGTCGTCGTGAAGATCGGGTTGGGCTCAGTCGGCGTTCGGTCGAACCTCTTGTATCACAGGCTCCGGTTGTGTTTGAGGCATTCCATACGGGTATCGTTCTTGACCGGTCATGATGAGATTATTCTCGGGGTTAGGGATTGGTTGAGTCGATGTTGATTGTCCTTTGCGCGTTACTACCATGTCTCGGTCTCAATCGTAGAGTTCTGAGGGGCTGAATATGTCTCTTCGACCCCACGGTGGGCGCCAAATGTTCATGTGTTAGGATACACACTTCAATTATCCTTGTTGTAGCGGGTTTGGTTCTGGGTCTCGGCCTTCTCGTTCCTATCCGGGTAGTTCGATGTGAGGGGGGGTGTGCCTGCAAAGACACTCCAACGCTCAAGTAAGTGCTCGGCGTAATAAATGCGGTAGTTGAAAGTTAGTTACATACCTCGTTAGGGTCCTATTTATAGTGATTTTTATTGGACCGTGATTAAGGATTGAGCCTCGAAAAATTAGGGGTTTAATCCGGTGCATTACGTAAATTACCCTCGCCATAATCATCCTGGCGTAAGTACGGGTTTAGGCCGAGCACACTGACATGTTATGTTCATATTAAGAGTGGTCGGTGCACTCGGGGTACTCGGTCTGATCATTCGCGGACTCGGGAATTCGACCTAGTCGGCCGTGGACTCGGGTATTCGGTCTAGTCGGCCACCATACGGTATATAAATATATATATTACAATTATTCTTTATGAGATTTCATATTTTAATAATATTATATATTTTTTCATTTCAATACTTTCAAAATTATTTTTCGTTATATAAGTAATTATTAAATCGTATAAATATTGCTGATATTCAATTTAATTTTTACCATTCAATTTCTTTACCAACTCAAATAAGGGAAATAATATGTTTGATACGAACTTGAATAGATTCACTTTATATGGACGAAGAATGCGAGGGTGATTTCCACCAGTTTTCCTAATTTGATTTATTTTTTAAATTATATGATTATTCAATAAAAATTGAGCAAGTAGGATTCATACAGTTTTGAACGAAAAGATTTTGTGCCAAATAGCAATCCTCCTCCGCTACCAAATGGTATTTACTTTTGGAATCGGTCCAACCCTCTGCATCTTTTCTATGGTTGAGAGAGATAACATGGGGCTACCCATCTTCTGTTCTATCTTAAACTAGTTTTGTTAATTGGTTTGGGCTTTAAGTCGCCTTAATAACCATTTTTTTCTAAGTTGATCCAAACTTCAACTTTATTTTATTGAATAGATGATTTAATAGTCTTCCTTCTTCAATCTTTCTATTTTTTTTCCCCTTTCTTTATCGAGTATCTACGGTCCTTTGAGATAGTTTTCGTGAATGTTATTGAGCCGAAATTTTTTTACACTGCAAAGATTAGTTTTCACTCGATAGATTATTTAAGAGAAGTAAAATGTAACCTTGGTTAGAGGTATGTAACTATTGGTTGGGTTAAAAAGAGGTTGAGTCAATTTTTTAAATTAAAAGAAAGGATGTATCAAATTCTTCTTACATTTTCATTTTTTTTTCTTTTATGCTTTAAAAAATCAAGAGGAGAGGAGACCGAAGAAAATCATCTCGGTGACTTGCATTCTTCGCTCTTTATTGATTAAGATAAGAGGGAGAGAGAATTATTGTTTTAGGACATAAAATAATTGTTGAGTAGTAAATTTAACCCCAACATCTGTGTTATATGCATTGTATGAAGGAGAAAAACCCAATTGTTCCTCATGATTCTTTTGTCCATGAATTGGTATAAATTATGATTACTTGAGGTTAATTTTGTGCATTAAGTCATTTTTGGTATAAATTGAGTTACTTGTGAGTTTTTGTGGGAATCCTAAGAGTATGCATTTGAATGGTTATTATGTGAATAATTAATAGAAATGTGTAATTATATGAAATCCGTGCCTTATGATGTATTGTATTAGTATTTTAAAGTATTTTACTGATTGACGTGTTATATGTAAGTTTTGGCTCATAAGTTGTATGCTTCAAATTTCTATAGAATTGGGTTGTTTGCGATGGTGTCGGGCACCTTGTGCATCACATTGGGCACCATTGTACTTGAGAGTAAGTGTTCTCTATTTCACTCGCACTAAGCACGAGTCTTGTATTGTTGGGCATTATTGAGGTTGAGTGTCTTTATGTTACTCATGTCGGGCGTGAGTTGAGGCTTGTTAAGCATGATAGCTCCAGGGAATTCCCTATTGCTATCTTGCTGGGTGTGATGCAAATCATGTCAAGCATAAACCATCTTGAGAGCTATGAGTGCTCCTTGGATGAGCTGCATTGGGTGTGAATTGACTTTTGTTGGGCGCCACCTTGTGTATGAAACTCTTTCTTTTACTTGAATTAAAAAGGGATTGGTTGGGTGATTCTAATGCTTGATGAATGTGAAATAAACATGAATGTTATTGATGTACTAACTAAATTTGATACTGAATTGTGCATGGTAAATAGTATGTATGGAAAATTCGTGTAAATAACAATTGTAAGCATGGTAAATTGTATCTAAGGCAAATAGTTAAGTATGTGTGATGAATCATGATATGATGGAGAGTCTGTGTGACATGCATTGTATGCACCCAAATCAACGAATCGACAAATTGTTATACATGCATTGGGCATATCTTGTGATTGGTACCACATGAATGTAAATTGAGAGTCCATGTCCATTGTATCTCATATTTAATTTGCATGTGACTAAAATGTATCTAGGAATTAATGATTTGATGTATTGTGAATGAGTTATTATTTATGATAGTGTTAATTAATTATATGTATAATATCGATGTCATTGCTATAAATAATGTATTGAGTGTGTTTAGCTATTCATCTCTAATTTCATTCCATGAGTTATAGTGAAAAGTTTCTCACTCCCCTTATTCCATGTTGTCAATGTTATGAATGTTGATGTAAGTGAGACTCATTAGAATATTGATAAAGTTGATGACATGACTTAATTCTTATCTTGGGAGTGCTCTTATAGGATATGTGACATCGAAGTTTAGACTAACAATGTTTTTCTTATTAATTCATATGATATTTATGTTGTTTTATATTTTTGCTTTAGTATGAAATATTGTTTAAGAGTTGTTATGTAAGATTCTTTATCTCAAGATGAAGATATTTCACTTTGAATATTTAAGTATAAATTTGGAGATTCTTTTATCCTTTGTCATGAATTTTAATTTATATACACATATGGGGTTAAGGGTGTCAAATTGATCCATTAGCATTTTCAATCCAATAATTTGATATGTTTAGTTTTGTTTAAGTTTTGATCCTCTTCATTCTTGTTTATTTCATATAATTTTGAGTATGTAAAGGACATTAAATGTATATTATGAAAATATGGATATCTTTACACAAAAGAAACTTTAATAATTGACCAATATAGAAAGGATGCAAATTTGTTTGAGGGTATTATTTTCCCTTTGCAATATCTTTATTATTATGTTAATTAATAAATTAAATGATAAAAATTAAAATCAAGTAATAAAATTGTGTGTTAATTATATATGATTAAGTCTATTATTTTTATTAATTAATCTTTTTACAAGTATATATCCTTCATCAATTAAATTTTAAAATATATATATTAAAGGAGTCAAACCTGAAGTCGATGGTAAAAAATACTTGCAAAATTTTGAAAATAATTAAACAATACTATAAATTTAATTTAAGAAATAAGGTTTATGATTCATCGTCTTATAAGGATAACTTTTTGTATGAAAAGATATATAATTAGAGTTAATCACTTATACACTATCTATGTAAAAAACTTTTACACTGACAACCAATTATATCTTTTAGTTGTGTCATATCACTATAAACACATTTACTTTTAACAGTGACATGACACAATTAAAAGATATAATTGGTTGTCAGTGTAAAAAAACTTTGCACTGACAGTGTATAGGTGATTAACTCATATATATAATTACATGAGAAATACTTTAAAAATAATCTAATTGATAGCATTTAGGTTTGTGTAATTTTTTTTTACGTAAAATTAATACATAAATATATTTTTTTAAAAAAAGAATATAGACTAATTTAAAGAAAAATATTTAAAAATACTCTAATTAAAAAAAAACTTCTAAACATACTCACGTACAAAATAACAACTATCATTTATATATTTATATATAGAGTGAATAGTGATTTACAATATAAAAATACTAAATTTAATAAATATTATATAAATCATCATATAACTGAGACTAACCATATACTTCAATATTTAGCATTAGATTAATTTAAGTATTACGCAAAATAAAATTAACTATGTTGGTCAATTCTAAAATAATCCAACGAATTATGCAACGAATCGGTAGCAACACTGTACGTGCACACACATATTCATTGAAGTTTGAATCCCTGGCAATTTTTCGCTTCCATTAGAGTTCATTGTATATATCTAAGGTCTTTAATAAACATATTTGAAAACATAATAAAACACAAATACACACTCATTGTAATAATTAATTGGATTTTTCATAATGATTACAAAAGGTTGTGACAGAACTTTGGTATAAAATTAATGGAGTTTATGCCGCTATGCTATAATCACCGTCCAGCATCCAAGGCAACTAGTGCATGATCCTTCATGCTGTCATACCCAGAATATTGATGGTTGCTGCTGTTACCAGTCTCATAAATGTTGGATGATGTCTCGTAAAGCAAGTGTTGGGTCTCCTCCAGATTTTGGTCAGTATTAGTCCATGGATGCTTCTCCTTTAGCCTTATTCTCTCCAACTCCATTGCCACTTCCTTCATGCTAGGCCTTTTCTCCCCTTCAACTCTCAAGCACTTTGCAGCAAGAATAGCAACCTCCATAATATCTTTATTATTTTCTTCTTTCTCAATGCCAAATTGAACAACATCAGATAACCTATTATTTCTCAAGAAAGATAGAAAGTGGTTAGCAAGACTTCTTTTCTCCTGAAGCCTTCCAAAAGAATGTGGTACCTCCCCTGTTAACAGCTCTATAAGAACCACCCCAAAGCTATAAACATCACTTTTCTCGGTTAGTTGGCTTGTAAGCATGTACTCGGGGTCCAGGTAACCAATAGTTCCTTGCACCATTGTGGCCAATTCAGTTTGATTAAGTGGAATTAATTTTGAAGCTCCAAAATCAGAAACTTTCCCAGTGTAATTTTTATCCAAGAGAATGTTAGCAGTCTTGACATCTCTATGGATAATGGGTATTGAGACTCCAGTGTGTAGATGTGATAGAGCTTCAGCTACATCTGATGCTATCTTTAGACGAGTTTCCCAAGTTTCACTATTTATCTTTCTTTGGGTGTGTATAAAATCAAAAAGGGTACCATTTTCAACAAATTCATACACTAATAAAGGAATTTCTGTCTCTAAACAACATCCCAAGAGTTTGACCACATTCCTATGATTGATTTGGGATAAAACAATCACCTCATTAATGAACTGTTCCTTTTGGCTCCCATCAACTTTTTTGGACTTCTTGATTGCTACAATTTTGTTATCATCTAGAATCCCTTTGAAAACTGTACCATAACCTCCATTGCCAATGATTTTGCTCTCATCAAAGTCGTTGGTGGCCTTCTTTAGTTGTTCATCTGTGAAAATTTGAGTGGTTTGCGAAGTATTTTCTCTTCTAGAGAGTTTTTGTAGCAAAATCAAGCCGCCATTCTGCTGAAAGAATTTCTCCTTTAGTTTTTTGAGTTTCCTTTTCTGGTATGTTAAGTACAGCATGCCAATCCCTACCAGAGGAATGATAAATCCTATTCCCACTCCTGTATTCAAAAAATGTTGAACGCAACTCTTCAATCATTCTTTGACTAAAGATACATGCAAGAAAATATTTTTAACCTATGTAGCACGGATACTAAGTTTTACAATTTTTATATAATAATAACTATTAAAAGATAAATCATATTTTTTTAATCTTGATGTGGTAGAGAGAAGTGTTATTAGATGCTGGTCAAGACATGTTTGATAAATATGGTATTTAAAGATATGCCAACACTGTATTCTTGTATGTGTGGATTCTTCGTAGGTTTCAACTGAAAGAAGAAAAATTAAGATAAATTAGATGTGCTTAGTTGCTTACCAACTACAACCATGGTACGTACGTGGCAGCCCCCTTCCCTTCTTCCATTTCCGGATTGCCACTTACGACAGAAACATGTGAAATGTCCGTACTCGTTACGACAATTTTTGTCACTTGTGCAATCATGTTTTTTTGTCGCGCATTCGTCGATATCTACAAGTGCGTTACATAAATAACTGTATTGTAAACCAGAGAAATAACAAAATATTTCTTTAATGAAGTTAACTAAATTTTCGAAGTTAATAATAATTACAAATATTCAACTGTACCATGTCAAATGATAAACGATTGTCTTTTTCTTTTCCCCAATTTTTTTTTTCTACATCTCACTATATTTTAAATGCTTATGAGTAAAAAATATGGGACAAAACAGGAACCATTATTAATCAACCAAACTACAAAAATGAAAAAAGTGGTGCATGCATGATTGCAAAACCCAAATGATTAATGATGAGAGTTATATACAGGTAAATTAATGTTTGGGGGGATAAATTGCATATGCAGCCACGATTACACGTGCATCAGTAACCATGATCGTCAAATTAGCTATTGTTCGTACATCTGTTAGCATATATAAAGAAGAAAAAAGTTAATTGTGTTTTTAGCCTTCATTTTTATCAATTTTTTTACTTTTAAGTCTTTAAAATATTTTTGACTAGATTTACTCTTTTTAAAATAACTCTTCTATATTTTTTTTCTTCTAATTATTGTATTTTTAATCCTTAAAAAATATTTGATTGATTTTAGTACTTCAAAATTACTCTGTTTTATTTTTAGTCTCTCAATTTTATTTTGTTAATTTATGATTTTAGTCTTTCAAAAACGTGTTATGATATTTTTAAATGAATTAATTGTGAGTAACCTAAGATATCATAATTTTTTTTTAACAAATAAGTACTTAAAAATGATCACATAAAAATGAAAATAAAAAATAATTAAGAATTCAAAATTTTACAGAGATAAAAGATAAAAAAAAAATTACAGGTACTAAAAAATGAAGATTGACAAAAAATTGAAAGATCAAAAACAGAAAGAAATAATTTTTGGAGATTTAAAAAAAATGAGAAATTAAAAACATAACATAATAATTTTTGGGAGACTCAACCTGTGAAAACTTTTTTGAAAGACAAAATATAAATAAAAAAAAAAATATAAACCCTAAAATCACAATTAATTTAAAAAGAAATAAAGGTTAATGTTTAGCATAATTAATTACCTTTGCAACCTTCCGTAAGGTATGGGTTCCCGTCGTAGCCTTCCTTACATTTGCATCGGTAACCAGATCCAGTGGTGGAGTTCTCACACTCGCTGTTACTCTTACACGCGTAGTTGGATTTACCCTCTGAAATTTCACACGTGCTTTTTCCAATAGTCCAATCAACGACCATGGGAGCCTTGCCATCATGGAAGGGTGGATGTTTTAAGTGATCCATCGAGAAATTGTAGTTTCGATTTTTGACAACAAAGGAGTAGCTGCAGTTGTTGAAGTCGGACGAGGAATTGAAATTGCTAAAGCTGAATGCTCGTATGCTAATGTTCTTCATACCAGGAGGTATGTCCACGTGGCAGCACCCAATCCCCGTGCAGCTTCCATTACCCTGCATGCTTAACATGTCCTCTTCGCTGTCGCATGTTGTCACGCATCCGGTACTGTATCGCTTTTGGTTGAAGAAATTGTTGAGATAGCCGTAAGTGTCGCAACCCACGCTTACGAACTTGTTGTCCGTACTAGAGATGGTAAAAGCCGCGGTTTTGAGTCTGGGTTTGTTACCTTTTGTTGATTCGTTATCGTATCCCACTTTACAAACGTTGGCGACGAAGAAATTCAGGTCCATTTGACCTTTGATGTTGTCTATATTCATAACCTCCACATTACCGGTGTATAAAGTGGAACCCTTGCAGGTGAGGTTCAGATTTCTCTCCAAGAAACAGTTTTTGCCGTTGACAGATGACACGCCTATGCCAAAGGGATACGGAACTGAAACGCTTCCGCAAGTGCTCGGGCAGCCGGGCAGGGCTTGGTCAGCTGCTGCTAACGCCATCAACAACAGCACGGTCAGTTGCATCAGCGTCGCCTTCACTCCCATTGTCGTCTTATGTACACAGTACATCACTCGACACTTGCATAGAAGATTATCATGTGTTGTGCTTTCTCTTCTTTTTCCACCAATAGCCCAAACTTTATACCAAGAGGAAACAAGTGTTAAATATTTTATAATAATTCTTTATTAAAAGTAATACAACAACAACCACTTTTTATATAATATTATTAAAGGTAGACCAAGTTCGTTAAATCTTGGGGTCAGCTATCCCACCTTTTGAGGTACCTCCAACGTAGCGATGATATTAGTCACTGCTATCGGCGATGGATACTCTAGTAATGAACCAAAAAGAAAGTAGACTAGGTTGATACAGTCTTTGAAAAAATATTTTATATTAATAATTATATAATTTTTCAAATTTTTTATAACTTGAAAGTTACATTTTGTATTTTTAGAAGTTCACTTTAAAAGTCTTAGTTTTATAAAATATATAAATATAATTATTTTTTAAGAGTCTTTTTAAAAAAATTATATTTTAAAAATATTTAAGATTTAATGATATATTTAGATGGCATAACTAAAAATATAAATTGAGAGAGATAATTAATACTATATTAAAAAGTTAGTACGGAATTTATTGATTTTATGGTGTATTTTTCTTTTAATACAACAAAACAAAAAAAAAGTATTATATATTATGTAGTGAATGGTTGAAATGATAAACACTTTAACAGTTCTCGTTATATCAAGTAAGAAAGAGAATTTAACACAATGTTTTTTTGTCATTAAAAAGATTAAAGAATTAATATTTTGTTATCAAACTCCAGACCTTCGAGGATCAACCACAACATTATTTGGACTAACATATTTTTATTACTTAATTATCTCAAATATATTTTTAATTCTTTAAATTTAAGGTGAATTTATTTTTAGGTTCTCAAATTTAAAACTAATATTTTTAGTTTATGTAATTTTAAAAAAAATTTATTTTAGTCTTTATATTCAAATTTTGTTAAAAAAATATGTTAAATATTATTGTATAAAACTTATCTATTAGTATTTCTATTAGTGAAAATATCAAATTAATGATGTTACATACCTGTCTCAATCTGTTACTTTCAAATATGTTATTGGTGATCTAAATGATTAAAACATGATTTTAAAAAATTATAGAACTAAAAATAATAATTTTAAATTTGAGAGACTAAAAATAAATTTACCCTAAATTTAATAAATTAAAAACATATTTAAATTTATTTAATTTTAATTTTATTTTTAAGTCCTAGACGCCACTAGTTTGATTATTATATTTATTATATGACGAATGGAATGGACTTTTCTACACTTCTGTTAGTCCGTCAATGCTTGACTTATTCATATCACATTAATATTAATAGTCAATAACACTTGTGAAAGGTAAGTGACTTATTAGACAATAATAAATAAATATTAAATAATTAAGAGTTAAGTTTTAAACCAGTTACAGTGGAGTATTGATTTGTAAAGTAACTTTTATTCGAAAGAAGTAGTGGTTTAAAGGAATTAAACTGGCTAATGTGAAGGAATGTATTTTCTTAACTCTAACCATGACGAATGATGAAAGACCAAAAAGAAGAATTAAAAAAGTGAAATCTTGCTAATAATTAATTTTGTCAAAAAAAATTCGCTGCATACAAGTTTCTCTATGGAGTGCATCTTTTTTCATAAACAAGAGTTTGAGCATGACACTTTTAAATCCAAGCACGAGTATCTTGCCATTTCAAATGTCTAATATTTACCTTATGAACTGGTCAAGAGTGAGATTGATCGAGAAATGGAGATTCGAGACGCCGAGAGAGACTCACCCTTCGTTGACCCAGTCAATATGTTAATACTCTTAGTTGCATTCATTTCTAATTTTCTATTTCGGGTAGGTGGATGAGATGCAATTTCCTTTCAATTCTTGAGGAAATATATTGGATTAAGATTTTAAAGGATTTTTTAAGTTAAAAAAAGTTCTATTAAAATTTTTATAGAATTTTTATGATTTTTAAGACTTCATAGGATTATGCAAGATTTTAAATCATAATTTTAATGGATTTTGTAAAATTTTTAAGTTAAGATTTTAATAGATTTTGCGGGACTTTGTAAATTTTGTAGAATTTTATGAGTTTTTGATATACGATAAAAGATCAAGATTTTTTTTCATACATTCAAATTTAAAAGAAAGAAATTTTTTTAAAATTTTTAATTGTTTTCAATTATTTACTCGTGAAAAAATATTTTTAGCATTAAAGTCTAAGATACTACAATTTTTTATGTTAATTTTCTTTTAAAAATATAAAAATCCTAATTTCACAATATAAAAATTAAAAAAATAAAATTCATAGTAAGAAAAGAAATAAAATAATTGTTGATTCATAAAAGGAGGAAAACAGATAATCGTAACAAACTCAAGGGAGGAAGATAGATCGTTGTTTTTGTGATGAGAGGGTTTTTTTCCCAACCAAGATCCATTCTAATATCATTCTACTCACAGAAACACTAACTCAAATTCATCTTATATATATATATATATATATATATATATATATATTTGCTCTAATAAATCTAAATTGATTACAAGGTCTTGAACATCTATAATTGATTGTAAAAATCTTGATATCAATTTCAGTTTTCACCTTTCCCTTTTCTTGATGTGTGTTATAAAAAGATTATGACTTAAAAGTTAAAATTTCAAGCATTTTCTTTATTATATATATGATTAACAAACTCAACTAAATAGAGCAAAATAAAAATAAGTCAATTAAAGAGAACAGAGAGAAAAATATAGCAAGTCAATGACACTGTCTTTTACACACGGGAGTTTCATCAAATAGAGGAATGGAATGAGAACAGTAGTACAATATTATATATGAGTAGTAATGTCGTATTATTAGTAGAGAAAAAAATGAAGAAGATAATAGCATAGAAAAAAAAAAATAAAAAACTCACTTGAAAATTCTTGAAGCACTTGAAAAGTTACTTCAAACAATCCTCCAAAATCTGATGGGTTTGGATGACATTGTTTTTATGAATTTGGTATTTATAGATACTATTAAAAATTCCTTCGAAATTCGTCTAATACAACAATCCTTTAAAATTCTTATATTTTTGAATAATAATAGATTGTTTTTAAATTGTAAAAAGTCCCAAATGAATACCAATGAATTTTAATGGACTCTTTAAAAATCTTGAAAATCCAGATTAAATACCACTGAATTATTATTAAGTGACATAAAATTCTGATTAAATATCAACGAACTTTTTTACTTAAAAAAATTCTTTTAAAATCCTATAAAATCCTAAACTAGTACACCTCTTTAGTTGCAAACTATTATTCACAAAGGTGATGGACATAAATAATTAATATATTAAATTCAAAAAGTTAAATCATTTGAGTAGTATTTGAATTTTGATCAAATACAATTTTGATCAAATTTTATTTATCTTTGGGTAAAAAATAAGTAAAAACTCTTTATTGATGCAATAAAATATTCCACTACCACTCTACCCGTCAATAGAGAGTATATAATATTAAAAATAATTAACATTTTAGTTTATAAAATGTATTAGATAAATATTTATTTTATATAGTTATAGTTTTATAATAAATAAATATTTAAAATACTCAAAATTAATTTATAAATAATTTATCATAGTTAGAAAATAGGAATTTCTTTTATAAATGGAATTTTTTCCAGCATAATTTAAATTTTAAACATGTTTTTTTTTAAATCAGTTAAAACTAAATTATGTTTTTAGTTGTTCCTTGTAGAGAAAAGATAATTACTAGCAAAGGAAGTTGAATAGTGTATATAAAAAACTTATATTTTCTGCATTGAAATAATAATGCTAATAAGATGAACCAAGAATAACAGTTAGATGGTTTGCCTCAACTATCGAGAATACGTTTAGTTTTTAATTTAACCAGATTGAGTTTCACTATCTTTAAACAAAGATACAAGTATACTTTTAACAAGTCACTTTTGGCTCAACCTTGAATATTCTTTGACTTGCCTTTTCAAGTAACTATCTAAATATTCTTTTAACAAGTCTCTTTAGACTTAGCAACCAAGTATTATTTTTCAGACAAGTTTCTCCAGGCTCAACCAAGTATTCTCTTATAGTCAAGTTTCTTTAGGCTTAAGAACAAACATGTTTTTTCAGACAAGCCTTTATAGGTTTAACCAAGTATTATTTTACAGTTAAGCCTCTTGATATAATCCAAAAACTACTATGAACTGGTTGATAGAGATAGAGAAAATATTCAAGGCTATGAGTTATATGTTGGGAGGGTTCTTTACAATGAATGATGGTTGAAGGTACACTAGCTAGTCAATTAGGACAACTTGAAGCTGGTATTCCTAGAGAAGTATTTTTCTAGATGATGTGGGAAGCCAAAAAGAGGTGGAGTTCTTAAAATCGAGGCATGGAGAAACCATGGTGGCAAAGTATGTTGCTAAGTTTGAGAATGTAGAGAAAAGACACACACTAGAAGTAGGTTGAATAGTGTATATAAAAAACTCACACTTTTGAGTAACGATGAGGAAAAGAACTTAATAGACGAAGTGTTGGAGGAGAGTTAGATGAAACACTAGAATTTTATATTGGTTCATCTAACTACCAAGACTACATCTAGTTCTTAATCTAACTAGATTGAGTTTCACTATCTTTTAGACAAGATATAAATATTCTTCAACAAGCCACTTATGACTCAGTCCTAAGTAGTCTTTGACTACCTCTTCAATCAACTACCTACATATTTTTTGAACAACAAACATCTCCAGGCTTAATAACAAGTATTCTTTCAAGAAAGCCTCTTCAGGCTTAACCTTTTCAATAAGGGTTACAAGAGATTATGAGGTTGATTAATCTCTTATAGACTTGTCGCAACCTATAATGAAAGTACAAAATAATCTATACAGAATTCATAGAGAGTGTTTTATTTTGTATGTGTGTATGTCTCTCTATATTTGTTTGAATGCATGATTCTTATATAGTAACTTAAGAGAAGTTGGCCATTGCAACAATTTTGAGTTGAACTCACAAGTTTCTGCGTCTATCTTCACTATTGATCTTAGAGGAAAGAGATTATCATTGCTTCATTTAATACAAGCATTAAATGTTTTT